CCAGTGAGCAGAGAGGGGAGCTGCAGCTGATTTCGGAGATACTTGTTGTCTGTGAAGAATCTGTCTGTAGTTAGGTCAGAAAGAGAATTCCATTGAGGCTTTTGTAACTATATTTTTTTAATTTGATATATTCTAAGTATTTATTGTGTCAAATCAGAGACTTCTTGCTTGGTTTTAATTTATCGTGGGTATCAGAAAAGGAAACATCCATTTTGGAGAGAGAGGTTTATTCTACGAGGGGAGGTTGCCCATTTGTTAAACCAAAGTGCATCTATGGAACAGCCCATTTCTTTTTTTTTTTTTTTTTTAGTTTATTTTTGTTTGTGTTTTGTTTTTTTTGTTGTGGTGGTTTTTTTTATTTTGACTAGTGATTTTTGTATGTGTTTTTCTTTCACTCCCCACCCTGCCTTGTTCAGAAGGGTGGAAGTGGGGGGGTTCTTGCCATCACCCACTCTTGTGAGGAGAGAGGTGTGGAGGGCAGGATGGGGTGGTTCAACAGATGCCACTGTATTGAACAGCCTTAACTTGGGCTGATACAAGCAGGCAGAGCTGTCCCTAGGTATGTACTTAGTTTATATCTGTGCAAGGTTCTGTGCTTTGCATTCCCAGAAACAGTAAAGCATTACAGCTATTGCTTCACCTTTGTTCCTTCCCACCTCCAGTTGCTCCATCCAACCAGACATTTGGAATGTCAGGGGAATAGAGTTCTCCATTGGTAATGGTACAAATCCTCCTGTCCTTGCTCTCCCATAACCAAAGTTCATGCAAACATGGAAGCATCCACCCAGTGCCCCAGTGTATTTTATTTAACACAGGGCTTGCTTAAGCCTTGAGTATGCATTTTCCTCTGGCAGTGAGACTGGAGATCCCACATAAGTTAGCTAAGTAAACAGTTTGGCATGATTTTAAGATACAGTACCTTTTTAAAAGAAACTTGCATAAAATTCAATTTAAAAATGACTGACTTTTGCTATGCTGGATCTGTCTTTTCCAAAATCAGTAAATCCTTGCTACACCTATGATACAGAGGAGACCTGAATAGCAATGAAGTACCAACCAGGAGGCATTTCACTGCCTCTCAGAACTTCTGTAAACTCCAGTTCTTTCTGTATTCATCCCCTGGTGAAGCATCCTGTTAGTTCAGGAGCATTCCAGTGAGAGGAACAACTGATTCCTCATGCAGGTTCTGACCTAGCATCTCTTGCTTATACAACCCTCTGTGGATAGTGGCTGGATTAACTGGTTTTAGTTTTATAAAGTATTTCTTTTGTGAAATCTGAAATACAAACAACGTAATGTCAGCTTAAAGCATTTCTAGAATAAGTTTTGTTTTTTTACTTTTTTTTTTTTTTAATCTGAAGAGTGTCTTCTCCTCTTTGGCTTTCCTAGAATTAAACAGAATTGATCACTGGTTGGCTTTTTGTCTCATTCTCTACTACTATCTTTTTAATCCTCAAGTTTCATTTGGAATCTCTCATTTCTTGATATAAAGCCAAGACTGCTGCTAAAATACCAGGTTGGTGTCTGTAGAAATAACATTAAGAAAGAACTGAGATAATCCTGGAGCGTGGCTTCTCGGCGCCATGCTTTTTGGTACCTTAGATGCAACCAAATCACATACATACCCAAAAGATTGAAGTGAAAACTCTTAAAATTCTGATTCTGGCTCCATTGTTGTGGTTTTGTTCGAGTGGTTCGTGTTACCGCCTCAGTTTCCCCATCTGTAAAATGGGACTAATAGCATCTACCTCAGGGTCGTTGAGAGTGCTAAGTAGGCAATGGGAATACATGCTATTAACCTGTGAGGGACGGTGGTCAGGTGTTAAGTGGCAGTGCAAGGAGGCAGGCAGTGAGTGCAGGGAGGTGCCTTACAGCTGCAAAGAATGTGACGCTGAAAAGTAGCTATAGGGACTGGGCATACATGCATAACAGGGGACTTCATTACATCTACAGTGCACTATCCGTGCACATCCTAGCATATGACACCACATTTAAAGAAAACAACCAGGGACCAGTATCTTTTTCTTTTTTCTTTTTTTTTTTTTCCTTTCATTTTTTGTTTTGTTTACCTTCTTGTTTTACTACTGGCAGCTGTAGTGAGCCCGAAAAAGAGGGAAAGAATCCTATCTGCCTTGGTTGTACTGAACAGCCAGAAGGAAAAAGAGTGCTTAAAACTTCTAACAAAATAGGTACAATAGTCCTGCACTAAAATGAAGTGTTAATGATTCTTACCCAGCATCTCAGCTCTGAAGGAAGGCAGTGCAGTTCTGAATGGGCTGTGTGGAGGGATCAAGGACTGATGCTGTTGCAGCTGTCCACTCAAGAGTTGTACAAGTTCTCTGTATAAACATAAATGTGCATGGTCTCTTCTAGGCAAAGCTTGAAGATACTGGTTTAGTAATAGAAATTCCTCAAGAATTACTTATAGCCTCTATGCTCTCAATGTTCTTGTGGTTGTTATTTGAAAGGCAGGAGGTTGTTGTTTTGTTTTGTTTTCCCCCTAATTGTCTAATAATGAGCTGCTGCCCTGTAACCCATTATGTAACTGGCTGCTGAATACAGTGTGCCAAAAATAAAAACCTTATTAGCGCTGGTACTGCTCGTTATTTCTCAATGGGTAGAAAGATAGCAGCATCATGCAAAAATCAAAAAGAGTCACTTGTGCTGAGAGGTCAAAGGTAGAAGTTCTTCACATTTACCCTTTATTGTGGAAACTGAAGAGGGAGTCTTCTGTCGACTGCTACTCAGGTTCCATCCTCCTCTCCATCTCTGCACCATGCTGCTCTTCCTTGAGGCTGTGCCCCTTCACTGCTCTGCAGCCTGACTTAGGCTTGGAAAAAAACACGTTGCTGTTATGAAATGGTGGGCAGTAAACCTGAAACCTGCAACGTAGCCTAACACCATGCAAAAAGAACAACATATGGTGCTTATGGTCATCAGTACCAGAGCTATTACTTTGCCTTTGTGCTGTCAGCTTCCTGAGAGGAAAGGAGTAGTCTTCTTTTGCCAGAGAAAGCAACTTTAAAAAATGAAAATGGTTTCTCCTGCAGTTAGTTTAGTAACATCAGACAACCAGCATGACTTCCCTGAGAGCAGATCCTGCCTGACCAACCCTGTGGCTTTCCATTATACTGTAACTGTGTCAGGGACAAGGGAAGAGCCACTGGAGCTGGACTTTGGCATAGCCCACAATGTTCTTCTCTCCAAGCTGGGAAGATAGGGATTTGATGGGTGGACTGCTTGTTGGGTGAGGAACTGGTTGTGAAATTGTACACAGAGAGTCCGTGGCTTGATGTCCAGATGGAGTTTGGTGAGCAGTGCTGTCCCTCAGGGGCCAGTAACAGGACAAGCATTCTTTAATGCCCTCGGTGATGGTGACAGTGGCATCGAGTGCGCCCTCAGCATTTTTAGGATGACACCCAACTGTATGGTGTGGTCAACATGCCCCAGGGATGGGATGCCATTCAGAGGGACCTGGACAGGCTCAACAATGGGCCCATGGAAACCTCATAAGGAGGTAAGACAAAGCCAAGGGCAGGGCAGCCCCTGCTGCCAGCACAAGCTGAGGCTATAAGGACAGAGCACAGCCCTGCCCCTCTGCTCTGCACTATGAGACCTCACTGGGAGCACTGTGTGTGGATGTGGAGTCCTCAGTATGGGAGAGACACAGACCTGTTGGGGAACAGCCCTATGAAGACAGGCTGAGGGCTGGGGCTGTGCAGCCTGGAGAAGGCAGGGCTCTGGGGAGAGCTGAGAGCAGCCTTCAGTCCCTAAAGGGGCTGTAAGATGGGGACAGACTCTTTAGCAGGGTGTGTGGGGCTGGGATTGGGGAAAATGGATCAAACTGAAAGAGGGGAGGTTTAGACTGGATATAAAGAAGTTTTTACACTACAAGCAGTGAGGCAGTGGCACAGGTTGCCCAGAGAGGCAGTGGTGCCCCATCCCTGCAGACAGCCGAGGTCAGGGATGGGCTGTGAGCACTGATGGAGCTGTGGGTGTCCCTGCTCAGTGCTGGGGTGGCACCAGACGGCCTTTAGGATCCCTTCCAACTCCAACCATCCTGTGATTCCAACTAGTGGAAGGGGAAAGGGAAGGTTAGAGAGGCTGTGTAGGTCAGCAGAGCTGATTGATCACTTCGGCCCCTGACAGCAATAGAAGATAGCAGGAGCAGAGAGGTGATTGTTCCCCTGCACTCAGCACTAGTGAGGCCACACCTCGAGTACTGTGTCCAGTTTTGGGCCCCTCACTGCAAGAAAGACACTGAGGCCCTGGAATGTGTTCAGAGGGGGACAACAAAGCTGGTGAGGGGTCTGGAACACAGGTCTGATGGGGAGAGGCTGAAGGAGCTGGGAATGTTCAGCCTGGAGAAGAGGAGGCTCAGGGGAGACCTCATGGCTCTCTATAACTTCCTGAAGGGGGGTTGTAGTGAGCTGGGGGTCGGCCTCTTCTCTCATGCCGTTAGTGATAGGACCAGAGGAATGGTTTCAAGCTACGGCAGGGGAGATTCAAGCTGGACATCACGAAGTATTACTTTTCAGAAAGGGTGGTCAGGCACTGGAATGGACTGCCCAGGGAGGTGGTGGAGTCACCGAGCCTGGGGGTTTTCAAGGAAAGACTGGATGTGGTGTTGAGGGACAGGGTTTACTGGGAGCTATTGGTAATAGGCGAACGGTTGGACTGGATGATCTTTTAGGTCTTATCCAACCTTGGTGATTCTATGATCCTATGATTCTAAGATGGTGGAAAAGAATGGGAAGTGCTTCAGGCCGTGCAGGATCCAGCCCAACCATGAGCTGGGGTGGGGGCAAGACAGTAGGTGGAAGAGGCCTCGCAGGCTCCTCCGAGGGACGCGTGCCGAAGGGCTGAGGGGCTCCGTGCAGCCGCAGGACGGCGCTTCCCGCTCGGCCCCCGGCCCCGTCCGCGCGCGGTCCCCGTCAGCGGCGCTGCGGTTTCCGGACGGGACGGCGCGCGGCGGCACCGCGGGAGCGGCCGGAGGGAGATGGCGGTTGCACCGTCCGGCCGCCGCGCTGCCCTGCCCGGGCCGAGCCTGCGGGCTTCAGGCGGCGGCTGCGGGCCCCGCGGCGGGGTGCGGCGGGAGGGAGATGCCGAAGCTGCGCGGAGAGGCGTTCTGGAGGGAGACGCTGCGCGGCGCCCACTACGTGGTGGCTCCTATGGTGGACCAGAGCGAGCTGGCCTGGAGGCTGCTGAGCCGCCGGCACGGCGCCCAGCTCTGCTACACGCCGATGCTGCACGCCCAGGTCTTCCTGAGGGACGCCAACTACCGCCGCGAGAACCTGTACGGCGAGGCCTGTCCCGAGGACCGCCCGCTCATCGTGCAGGTGGGGAGCGAGCGTTCGTAGGGACTGACAGCGGGACGGCCGCGGGAACGGCTTCAGACGGAGGGAGGGGAGGTGCGGGTGAGATGTGGGGGGAGATTCTTCGCTCGGAGGGCGGTGAGGCTCTGCGTGGAGCTGCGGTGCTCCAGCCCTGGGGGTGCCCGAGGCCGTGGATGGGCCCTGGGCAGCCCGAGCTGTGGGCGAGCAGGTGCAGCTCGATGACCTTTGAGGTCCCCTCCGAACTGAGCTGTTCTGTGATCCCGTGGCTGCTGGTGGCATTCAGGTCCCTCGCCCTGCAGCCCTGGCTTCTGCCCCGCCCTGTTCCGTGGGGAGGAGTGCTGGGTTCTGACTGAAACCAGGAGCTCAGGGCTTGGCTATAGTAAAAAGGACAGAAAAGCAAACACAAAGAAGAGAGCTTCAGAGGCTTCAAAGAGGCTTCAAAGCTTTGTGTATTTCGTAGAATCGCAGAATCATAGAATGGCCAGGGTTGGAAGGGACCTCAAGGATCATCAAGCTCCAACCTCCTGCCACAGGCAGAGCTGCCAACCTCCACGTTTAATTAATACCAGGCTGCCCAGAGCTCCATCCAACCTGGCCTTGAACACCTCCAGGGATGGACGGGGCATCCACAGCCTCTCTAGGCAGCTGTTCCAGCACCTCACCACTCTCATAGTAAAGAACTTCCCCCTGACATCCAACCTAAATCTTCCCTCCTTCAACTTAAAACCATTTCCCCTTTCCTGCTGTTATCTACCATCTACCATCTACCCTTCTGAAGAGCTGACTCCCCTCCTGTTTGTAGGCTCCCTTTAGGTACTGAAAGGCTGCAGTGAAGTCACCCCGCAGCCTTCTTTTCTCCATGCTGAACAAACCCAGCTCCCTCAGCCTGTCTTTGTAGAGGAGGTGCTCCAGCCTCCTGATCATTTTTTTAGCTCTCCTCAGAACCCACTCCAACATTTCCCTGTCTTTCTTGTACTGGGGGCCCCAGACCTGGACACAGTACTTCAGATGGGGCCTTAGTTCTGCTTCTTGAGTACTACACTACATTCAGGTCCCAAAGAGAGAGAGGCCCGTGGGGCTGCAGCACAGCACAGGGAAGGATGGGCAGCTCAAGCTGGGCAGTTCTCACATACAAAACAGCAAAATGGATGAGGAGGACTCTTTGCTGCAGAAAGGTATCTCCTCTCTTGACTGTGAGAAAGCTGTAAAAGTCTGACTGATGTTGGCACTGAGCTGTGCTGGGTGGGAGTGAGGGAAGGGCTGTGCCCAAGGAGGCATGGAGCAGCTCCCAGGGCAGAAGGCACAGCCCCCAGTGACACAGCTCTGCCATGAAACAGCTTCAGGTTAACCTAATTCATAGAATCATAGAATGGCCTGGGTTGAAAAGGATTTCAACCCCCCTGCTATGTGCAGGGTCGCCAACCACCAGACCAGGCTGCTCAAAGCCACATCCATCCTGTTCTGAATAAATTGATGTGTAGCATCAATAAAGCTGGAATTTTCTCAGCACTGCCTGGATGTTCTCCTATGATAACACTGCTTGCTCCATGCGGATCTGAGGGGCTGTCCCCCTTTACCATATGTGAAAAACTCCACAAATATTCCTTTCCTTCTTCAGTGCTCACCTTTTTTCATTTTTTTGTTTGCAGGTTGAGGGTCTTTAGCTGATCAGTGTCACAAATCTGTTCATTGTGAATCATTTTAGTTGAGAAATGCCCTGGTTTTCTGTAGCAGTGGGTTGCTTTGACAGCATGTCGTGATCTGTTGACAGTACGTGGAAAAAAAAAGCTACTGCCTGCTTATTCTGCTTGTCTGATTCTGCTTGTCTTTGTCTCCTTCCCAGTTCTGTGCCAATGATCCTGAGGTATTTGTCCAAGCGGCGCTGTTGGCTCAGGATTATTGTGATGCCATAGACCTGAATTTGGGTTGCCCCCAGATGATTGCAAAGAGAGGTATGTGCAAATTTGAACCCTGGATAAACAAAGATGTGGCGTGTATTGAATATGTGCTTTGGCAGTGGGGCATTAAGATGATAGAATTAAGACTTGGGGGTGACATCAGTGATGTTGAAATCAGACTTAATTACACCCACTGTAACAGATACAGCTTTGTAGTACCTCAAGCAAAATTAGGGAGACTAATAATTCCTATTTTTCTGGAGTGATAGCTCTTATGTCTAGAATGTCTTTCAAAAAAGTCTTTTTTTTGCAAGAGCTTGATTTATTTATTTATCTTTCCCAATTTCAGTTGATCAGAGAGCTTACATTCACAAAACTACACTTGAAAGTACCACTGTGCAGGCACTCAGCATGCCCTGTTTCCTTAATGCTTGCATAGAATGAATTCACAGTGGCATATAGAGGATAAAACCTGCTGAACCCTTAATGGTGTTGCAAACATAGCTGTGTTTCAAACACCAGAACCTGTGTTTGAAAACTTGGGATGCTGAGGGTAGATTTGTTCTGCTTCTGTCAGTGAGTGTCTGGATCTTTGTGTGTGAATGTATTTGTACGTCAGAACCTTACTGTTCTGCACAGTCAATCTGGTGCTGTTTTGTTATAGGTCACTATGGAGCATTTCTACAAGAGGAATGGGATCTTCTTCAGAGAATGAGTAAGTTTTTAGAGGGGCTTACTTTGAGAGGGAATAGGTTGAACTCAGCAGTAAGAGGAGGCATAGGGAGGAAGGGGTGCAGTGTATCTGTCTGGGAAGGGCTGTGAGGTTTGGTGCTTTTGTTACTCCCTTTATTCCAGCTGCACTTTGTGGTACTTTGTGATACCCCTCTCACAGCTCATCCTACAGCTGCTGAAGGACCTCACAAACCTTTCACCTGAAGCGAGTCACTGAAGTCCCAGTCTGGTGATGGCTTTGTGGCCTCCCAGCTGCTAAAAGCAGAACATCCAGCATGTTACAAGGGAGAGCATTTCTGTCTGGAGCCTCCACTGCCCTTTTCTTTGTGATTCTTTCTCTTTCTGCCTACTCCTTACCAAGTTATGCCTCTCTTCTCCAAATCTGTGTAATAAGCCCTCAGGGGTATTGGTAGCAGTTGTGATCAGTATTATATATATTTGTTTCTTTTAGGGAACACATTGGGAACTACTTTTTTTGTTAGGGAAGGTTTTGTTCCTTGTGTAGAGCCAAGAATGTTTCTTCTCCTTGTTTCAAAGCCAGTGCCTGAACTGCAGAGTTACAGAATGCTACTTCTGTGGTGTTCCTTGTGGTGCAGGGAATCTTGAATTGTGTTCAGCAAAAGACACTGCAGAGTACTTAGACAGACAGTGCTTCTACCCAGCATGTCATGTGGTCACTGGGGCTCTTCTCTTAGGAGTGGGAGCTGTAAGTCAGCAGAGCCTTGAGGTGAGAACAGCACACAGCTCATTTGGTTTGGAAGAGAGTTGCCTAGTGAAGCTATTTTATACAAGATGGGCAAAGCTTCTGCCTCTTCTTCCTTCTCCACACAGTGCTGTTTTCTGCTTGGACTTCTATACCCTCACTTGCTTCTTCATTAGAACTTCTAGGATATGGATTAAAAGAAAACAGGTGCCTTTCTGCACTGTGCATCAAACCTCTGGAATAGAACAAGATTCCAGGTGTGTCTTAGCACTGGGCATCGTTGGAAGGGGCCCAACTCTGTCTTCATTTCATCCTCCTCCCTTCATGTGTTTAGGGATTGATGAGATCCCATTGAGCCTTCCCTTACCCAGGCTGCACAGCCACAGGGCTCAGCTTCTCCTCACAGAAGAAGCACTGCAATCCCTGTATGCACTTAGTGGCCCTGTGCTGCACTCCTTCCAGTATGTCTGTATCTGTTATCCTGGGGGGGCAGAACTGAGCACAGTGCTTCAGGTGTGGCCTCACCAACGCTGTGCAGAGCAGCAGGATAACCTCCCTGGGCATGTTGGCAATGCTTTGCCTAATGCAACCAAGAATAAATACTGTTAACCTTCAGAGCAGCAAGAGCATGTGGAGCCCACCAGGAGTCGTGGGTCCTTTCCTACAGAGCTGCTGTGCAGCCATGTGGCCCCAGTGTCTGGTCACTAAGGCTGTGAGCAATGCTCCACTTGTCATGATTGTTTGGGTTATAATTTGGAAACAAAGCAGAGGAAATGTGAATAAGTACTACTGTTAGCAGAGCAGCAGGAATGCAGTATGCTGTGACAGTAAACGTGTGCCAGTGGTTAAGATGTGATGGGACAAGTCCTTGAAAGTGAACGTTAAATGTGGTGGGAGATGGAGCTGTTACATTCTGAGCACTCTGTGCCTCCTTATTAACACACACAGTTTGTGTATTTTCTACTAACTGTTGTTGGTGAACCTCTGTGGTAAGGACTGCAAAGGACATTGCTGATGGTTTCATCTGTGAGAACTGCGTGATGTGATTTTTTGGGGAGGCTTTTTCCATGTCACACACAGTGTCTGATCTTCCCACAGCGTTGTGCAGCCCACTTACTGCCTTTTCCATCTCTCCTAGTTCTGCTGGCTAACGAGAAGCTCTCTGTTCCCATCACGTGCAAAATCCGTGTTTTCCCAGAGATTGACAAGACAGTGAAATATGCACAGATGCTGGAGAAGGCCGGCTGCCAGGTGAGGAGGCTGCTGCTCCCTGACCCTGGGCACTGAGCACGTCTTTGTGTGCAGCATCTTATGATCTTGGGGTGCTGTGGAGATGGATAGGCTGTGTTGTTTTACAGACAGGAAACATTTGTAGGTGGCATATTGGGTTGCTACTATGATAGGAAACGTGATTTCAGAGTCTCTCTTGGAATCACTACACAATGTGGCATCTTTTCTTGTGGGTGAGCATCTCCATCTGACACAGAGCTGCAGGAGGCAGTGTGAATGCATGAGATCCACGGGGCTACCAAAAATCAAACAAAATACATATGGCCACCACCAATTAAAAAGTAGGCTGACTGTCCAGGATCCAAGTTAAATTAGTGGAGACAGTCTGTGGTTAGAGCCAGTACTCCCAGTACTTGGGCCTTCTGCTGAGGGGCAAGCCAGATCAATCTATTATCGATAGGAGAATGCAATTGGCTTTAGGTTTTCCCTAGATCAGCTCTGTGGCATGACAAGATAATGAAGTCAAACAACACCCAGCACTGTGTCAGAGCAGGTAACCCAGTGATACCTTTCTGTTATACCAGCATCCTTGCACTTTTTAAAAAGCCCTGGGAACTCAGTAGTGTCTGTGAAGTGTGTTGGATTCAGGACATCTTTTATCAGTGGATTTGTTCCAGTGGTTCATACATTTAAGAAGTAAATAGGACTTTGTGTTCCAGCTGTTGACAGTCCATGGCCGTACGAAAGAGCAGAAGGGACCCCTTGCTGGTGTGGCATCCTGGGAGCACATTCAAGCTGTCAGGTTAGTGAGCAGTACCCATCTCAGCAGCAGGTAAATTATAATCTCTGCACACAGTGGCACTGAAGCATCTGTATGACAGGAGTAGAAGTTCTGGATTAACTTCAGCCTTTCCTAATTCTCAACGTTATACATCTGGTTTATTCACTGATGCAGAAAAGCTGTGAGCATTCCTGTGTTTGCAAATGGAAACATCCAGTGTCTCAGTGATGTGGAAGAATGTATCCGTAAGACAGGAGTCCACGGTGTCATGAGTGCAGGTAAAGAGCTTTTAGTGTTAACAGATGAAGCCACAAACTGTTTCTTACTTTCCATATACATTTATATAAAGACTACATTGGGCTGATGCGTGCTGAACAACTTTGATGGGAAGCTGTGTGGCCTTTTTCTCCCCATTCGGCTTTTTCTCCCCAGGATCAGGAATCAATTCACAGTAAGAATTGTTCTGTTGAACTTGCAGTACCATTCAGTGGGTGGCTCACATATAATTACATGGTAAAAACTCTCCTGTGACCCTGAAGTATTCTCATGGCATCTATTAATTAGTGAAATAGTTTCTGAATGGGTCCTGGTGCAGTAATGTCCCCACTGATGACATGTTCCTGCAGATGATTCATGTTGAGTTGGACAAGAAAGAATTGGCTGTGCTGGCTACAAGAGTCAGGATAGACATCAGAAAAAGCTTTCAGCACTCACACATCTAAAGCAGTGGAACATATTGTAGGGACATTGCAGAATCTTATTTTTAAGAAAGCACTGGTTAACAAAGGTTTGTCACACTAGTTGAGCATGGCTTAGTAAGAAGCAGTATCTGCATAGTTAAGCCAAACGAAGAAGACTGTAAACTTAACATAAGACACTCATTGGCTAAATATTTAACCATTGGCATTGATTTCTTTTTTTTTTTTCTTTTTTTTTTTTCTTTTTTTTTTTTACTTTTTGTGTGAAGATTTTAATTAGGTATGAGCTATTAAGCTCAATTAAGAATTATGTATAAAGTATTGTGAGGTCAGGCTCATTTATGGAGCCTCCATTCTTTGTGAATATCTGTGACTGGCTGGTACAAGCTGGTCAAACTGCAGAGCCTAGATTTTGTTGTCTGTTTCAATCCTGAAATGAAAGTGTGTTTCTTTTCATTTCCTAGAAGGTAATCTTCATAACCCAGCTTTATTTGAGGGGCGAAACCCATTGGTGTGGGAGATGGCTGAGGAGTATCTGGAGATAGTGCAGAAGTACCCCTGTCCGTTGTCTTATGTCAGGGCTCATCTCTTCAAGCTCTGGCATCACACGTGAGTATCTCCAGAACACTCTTGATGTTTTCTGGGCTCATTTTTCTTAGCAAGTGTCTGACTTTTCTATACAAGAATTTGTTTGACCAGCGTTGTCTTCCTAAGGTTTTCTTTCCTGAACCTTCCTGGAAAGAATGTGGGCTGAAGCCTTCAGCCTTCACTGCAGGAAAACAGGGTTTGGGGAACGAACTAGGAGATAAATCAGGGTGTGAGATCAGAGCACACTGGCTGGGATGTGGCAGTGGTCTCTATGCATTCATGCACTTCATGGCAAACGTGAGCTGCCTGCCTCCTCGTTCACTTTGCAGCAAGCTGTCTTGCATTTATCATGGAGTAAGAGCACATTCATGAGCAGTTTCTGAGTTCCTGATGTGTGGCATGCTCATGTTCACTTATCTCAGAATACCATGTTTACATGTCCAAACTCACAAATATTTACCCGAAAGAGGAACAGATGCCTAGAGTTAAAAGAAAGAAGATGAACTCCTACCACAGGCAAGCACAGTGAGAGGCTGGATATTAGGAAATACTACTTCTCTGAAAGGGTGGTCAGGCACTGAATGGGCTGCCCAGGGAGGTGGTGGAATCCCCTTCCCTGGAGGTGTTCAAGGAACGTTTGGATGTTGTGTTGAGGGATATGGTTTAGCGAGAACCATTGGTGATAGGTGGATGGTTGGACTGGATGATCTTATAGGTCTTTTCCAACCTTAATGATTCTGTGAAAACACCATAGAAGGCTTTTATAAAGATATTTTTAGATGATTTCCTTATAATGAATAATGAATAGACATGACTTGGTCTTTGGGTTTTGCCTCAGGCTTCAAGTTTACCAGCAGCTGCGTGAAGAATTAGCAAAAGTGAAGACTCTAGAGGGAATTGTGGATGTCAACAGGGAACTGAAACTGCGCTGCCAGGTACCACAGTGGGCCCTGCTCCCCAAACAGCTCTGTCTGCACATGGTGGGGATGCACCACATGTGTCAATGTGGTTCATATCTGTTAGGCACCTCCCTGGAACTTTGTAGCTTACCAACTGTGAGAAGCCCAAACAGCTTCACATCACTAAAAGCTGATTTAGGAGTTAGAAATCTGCTTCATTTCTGTATTCTAAGAGGTGTTTTGTTGTTTGATTTTTGTTTTGTTTTACTGTATTTAACTGTCCATTAGTTCAAATCACACTCAGTGGTTTCCTGGAGCTTTAAGTAAGTATTTAGAATATATCCTGAGAACTGCAGGAAAGCTGACTGTAACCCTGTGCTGCAGGAAGAAATAGCGAATCAGAAGGAAGGAGAGAAGCCAAAAGAGGGGTTGCCTTTTTTCCATTGGATCTGCCAGCCATACATCAGGCCAGGGTGAGTTACCTACATTAATGCAGCCAGGTATGCAGATGCTTTTCCTACCCTTACTGTCACTGTAGAATAACTCAGCCCTGTTTTTGGAGCTTATGTGCATTTGAAAAAAAATGAAAACTCCAGGTTATTTTTCTTGTGTCCTTTTTTTCTGTTTTCCTGGTTATTGTTTTGTTCATGGGGATGTTGCTTATTTTAAGTATCGTATCCTTCAGATTCTCCCTTCAGAAAGCAAAAAAACAAGAATTCCACTTTCTGAACCTGGTGTACCTTCACATCTAAAAGCAGTATCATCTCCATGTAATTTAGCTATGATAGAAATCTTTGCAGTTTTCTATAGGCTGACAGTGTTCAGGGAACACCTGTTTCTTCCCTTCAGCCAACTTAGGCTGATATTCACCATTTCAGGCCAAAAGAGAGATGCAAGGAGAATGGAACCACAGGAACTGAAAAAGGTGTGCGGGGGAAACGTTCTCTGGAAGACGAAGAAGATGGAAATTCTGAGCTTCTGTCAAAGAATAAGCAAAAAAAGAAGTTAAGAAATCCAAATAAAAGCTTTGACCCATCTTTAAAACGTAAGTTCCATCTGTTGGCATTGCTACTGCATAAGCTGCCACTTCTTTCTTGGTCGTGTTTACGTAGATGTAGAAATTTCTTCAAAATAGGGTGGGTTGTTGGGCACTTTGGTGTAGGCAGCACAATTCAATTTGTGTTCATTCGGAAAGAAACCTCATTACCAGAGAAGGTCAGTAGTCCACAATAAGCAATTATTTAAAGCTCAAAATGTTTTACAAACAAAAGAGTATCAATTATTGGTATTTGAAATTGAAATTTCATATGTGTTTCAAGCAGTTTTCCACCTCTTTTGCACTGGAATTGAAAATATTTTTTTTATATTTGCATCTAACTTAAACACGCTGAGAAACTCAACTCAGTGTATCTTTACCTGCTCTGCACTGTTCATTGTGGTACTGTATTTTAATTTTGAAAAGAGCCCCCCCTCTGACTAAAACAGCACTGTGCTTTGTTGGGCACTGAATTTTTAAATGTACTCTTTCCATATGAAACACCATTGCTGAAGTCAGTTCTCTGTCTTTTCCAGCTAAATATGCAAAGTGTGATCAATGTGGAAACCCCAAGGTAAGTCAGTGTCAGTGTCCAGTAAAGCATTTTCCTAATATAGGGCCATGTCAGCATCCAGCAATACGTGCATGCTGAGCTCTGGGGGTGGTGATAGGGGATGTTGTTCTGTTCTGGAGCACAGTTGTTATGAACAGCATTCAGCTGGGACTCAGTTCTGAGCTGCTGCAGCAGAAAGATTTCTTGCTGTGTTCATTAATGGGAAAACACTGAGCTTTTGGCTGGTCTGGTTCTGAAGCCAGCATTTCATCGCTGGACCAGTTAACAGCATGGGCCTTCAAGCAGGATTGTTCAAAATGGGACTTGTTCTCATGTTTGTGTTGAATTTACATCATTGTAACATTGCAGGCAGCTCTTAAAGTTTTTAGAATGGGCCTATGTTTTTTTTTTTTTTTAGATTCTGTGTTCCAAATCTGTGTTGTTTAGGGGTTAGCAAGGAGCAGGAGGAACAGAGTAAAGCAAAACCCAGACATGAAGGTGTTTTTCATCAGGGTGGGGGGAAATCACTGAAAGCTCATGGAGGTGTGAGCATCAGAGCCACCCAGCCAAGCTGTAGAACAGGCAGATCGAACTGCTGCTCTCTGCTGGAGAAGGGTCTGGCTTTATATTAAAATGGATATTTAAGTATATTTTAAGCTGCAAAAAGGGAAGAAATGGATGTGGTCAGATTGATTGATTTATTTTAGGCATTGTTACAAGACAAATACAAGCATCTGCCAAGCACCTTGGTTTCACATGGTACTTCCATAGGGAAATAACAGCAAGCTTAGCTGTAACAAACATCATAACTCGTGTTCCAAAGTGCTCACAGCATTTTCTGTGTGTGGTGTGTGACCCAGGCTGCCCATTGACCGCTGCTGGTGCCGAATTGGACTGAAATTGTGGGTTGGTTGTGGGTTTGTGGGGTTTTTTCCATTTTGATTCTCTGTGCACAGTTGATAGCTGTCCTCCCCACTCTCCATGACATCAGCTTTGTCAGTTTCATTAGAGTGAGGCTTTTTCCAAAGGTCTGAATGTGCAGAGTTGCTGCTAATTATACTCGTATACATATGTGAAAAAAAATATATATACATGTGTGTATGTTTGTTTTTGTTAATGATATAAGCTTCTTTACACCCCCACCCAGGGCAATAAATGTGTGTTTAACATGTGCCGAGGTTGCTGCAAGAAAAGAGCGTTCAAAGAGACAGCAGACTGTCCAGGTAAGCAGAGCTGGTTGTGTTCTGTCCTTAGAGGTCATTGAGCAAATGCCTTATCTCACACAGTGGGTTGCATCTCTTAAAATCTGCACCTAGTGCACATTCAAGAGTATTTCTTTTTATTCCAAGGCTTTGGCATGGGTTCTTTCCAGACCCATTTGTTCTAGCTACAGGGCATGATCTGCTCCATTTTTTCAGGGTGTTCCCTTCCTTTCAGTTTCTTTTTTCTTTGCTTTTAATTTTTTTCCCCCCTGTCATTTTTGCTTCTTTAGGTCATGGGTTACTTTTTAAGACCAAATATGAAAAATCCCTTCTGTGGCAGAGCAATCAGAGAGCAAGCCCAGAGCTCAGTCAGAAAGGAGATGTGGATGGGGAGGAGACTGCTGTACTGAAGGAGGCCGATGACAGTGCGGCGTGAAGCTTTGGAAATGAATCAAGAGCTTCTGCCAGGCCTTTGCTTCCCTGGGCCAAAGAACCTGCCATCTCCAGAGCAGCATTGGCTGTGGGAACCTGTTCCACAGGTTGATTTTAAGTCCTGGCCAAGTGTTATTTAAGTAAAAAAACTGCTTACTCAGGGAATTCTCCTGCATTTGAAATAAAAAGAATGCAACTGATTTTCTCATGCTGTGTTTTAAAGACTGAAAATATGCTGCATTGAGGTGAGTGGGTCAGGCAGCTTCTGTCTGCTGCTATCCCAGTTGGCATCATTTTGTTTATTAATCCTTTGGGTCCTGTTTTTAATATTGGGGAATAAATTTCGTACAGTAGGATGGCCTTTTGGAGCATTAAAAACAGCAATATTAATAACTGCTTCACTAATAGAAAATGTCACATCCCTGAGTTTCAGGAGGCCACGTTTTCAATGCTGCTTCCAAAAATGTGACAGGGAAGTCGTAAGCAGCTGCTGTAACAGTGTAGAGTAACAAAGAGTGGTTGCATATGATATGGTAAAAGCTAAACAGCTGATGTAAAACAGGTCATGCAACATCAAAACTGCTGTTTCGAACATGGCAAAGGAGGCCAGGAAGGAGATGCTCTTTCCTTGACACTCCATTAGGCTGACATTTGTTTTAGAATCCTAATTATGGAGATTCTTCCCCTGTCTGTCAGAATGTTAGATATTCCCTTTAGGGAGGGTGAGGCTACAGGAAAATGAAGGGGAAACTCAGCACACAAGATTCAGAGGCTACAAACCACTACACATCTGGTAAGAGGGAAGACCCAATTTCACCCTGCAACCTTGAAGAGGTGCTGAAGATTTCTTTCTTTTATTACAGAAACAAACCACCTTTAGGAACTGACTGCATGCCCTGGGGACTTAGAACTCATTCTTAACTTTAAAAGCCAAACAAAAACTGTTCAAGTACAGCTGTGTCTGTGCACACTGCATAACCACCCCCCCCTCCACCCCTTACCTTGTGTTCTGGCAAGACAGAACTCATCATCAGTTCGTATTTCCTAACACCTATTGCAAATTTACAGTCACAGTTATGAGTTCATATATGGTTTTGAACAATAAGCTGAAAGAAAACCAGAACCCTGGCTGGCTGCTGCTATTAGCCAGGAACTGTACACCTATTTCTCAAGGCTGTAATTCAAAGAAAGCTTACCAGCTTGCTAAGCAGAGGCCCCCATAACAAATTTCCTATTTGATGTTCAGATTTTCCACACCAGTTCTTTGGGCATCTTCCATTATGTGTAGCTTTGTCTCTGAACATCTGTCTGCGTGTGACAGTCTTCTGTTGAGCTGCTGCCATTCATTCTCACTGTTAGGCCTTGAGAGGGATCACAGGGGTAAGAATCTTGTATTAAATGCTGCCTCACAGCTGTGGCATTCCACAGATGTGGATAGTAAAATAGCTCAAACTCTCCTAATGGGTCTTCCCATTTCATTAGGTCATTGTTGGGAAATAAATGTATGTTCCAAGATGTTCTGGGAACAGCATCTTCCAACTGAATCAGCTTTCCTAATTTCTGACCCCTCATATTCAAGTTCAGGCACTAACCTGGGAGCTGTTCTTCTCCCTCACCTCGTGAGCAGGAACTGCCACAGAAACTTGGGACAGGGAGGGAGCAGCATTTACAAACAGTCCAGCAATTCAAGCATGAGAATCGAGTTCACAAATACCTCTGTGCCTTATTGGATGGGAACTGAAAACCACATCCCTGCCTCCCGTGGAAATAGTCCACTCCTTCCCTTGCACAGACATAACATTTTATAAAGGGTTCTGAACAGTTAAGAAAACTTCTACAGTGAAGAGCTGAATGTTCATAACTACAGATCTTCCAGCTGCTCACTTTCTCCCTCTTCTGCTGTACACAGATAACAGAGCTCCACCACTCTCTGCACACTGCGTTGGAGAACGTTTACTAACTCAGAAAAGGTTTTTGCACAAGAAACTTTCACCACTGTAAGGCAGGAGTGAACTGGGGCTCATATGAATAATTGGGATCCCATTCCTAACCTGACAGTCTGGTTTTAGGTCACATCTTATGAGCACACAAACTCATCACCAGTGTGAGGAAAGGTCTGAGGTGCCTCTGAGCTCCCAGTTCAAAAAGCACCTTTATAGCTCAGAGTCTGAAATGAACACATCCGTGCTGAATCAGTATTTAAGCTGTATTTGTCCCCATCCCCTCTTGCAAAGCCTTTCTTAACATGCAATGCAGACACACTTATCTTCTTGGCTCCCATCCCAGTGCACATCACAGGACCACAGTGCTCCTAATGCAGGGCTGGAGCACTGCTCAGGCAGGGCCTGCAACACACAGCTCCCTGTGCACCCAATGGTGGAAAAAGATACAACCTGAACTTTCAACATTACAGACCTTACTGATGATTATAATTGCATTCTATTTATTAAAGAGGTAAAGATGACTAGAGGATCAATTTCTTAACAAGCAGCACTTGTGAATCAGGAGGCACTATTACAACATGAGCAAAGTAGGGCCATTTGCCACTGGTGCTGAGCACACCTGCACCTGCATGGTTGTTAGGGATTGCTTTCAGGCTAGGCAATACACTAATTACTCCACTTATCTCTAATCAAAAAACACTGTAGCCAGCAAACTCAGCAAGGTTATGTCCTATTTTGTTTCTGTTTCAAAAACCTTTAAAAAGAAATGAATTATTCCATTTTCATGGGAGTAGGGGGAGGCAGTGCCCTGCAATGCAGAATGATGGAGAGAAAATGAGCCTCAATCTCTGGGCTTGCAGGAGACTGCATCCCTGTGTTTAAGGGTGTCTTCAGAGGCACTCAGAAAGAGCAGCAGTAGCTTACCTCACAAAAAGAAACCCAAGTGCCTTCATTTGGCAGCCAGCTCATGAGATAACAAAAAAAATTAGAAATAGGAATAAAAACCACCTGAATCTCAGCATGTATTTACAGGGCACAAACTTTATGGACACAAAGAACTCAGTTGCACAACCCACAGGTCGATGGAGCATGCTGCTCAAAGCTGTGCATGCAGCAATAGAAAATCTCCATGGGATGAAGGGCAACCAGATTGCCAAACCTGACCTACCAAGGCAGGTTTTCAGGTCTTGCCACTTGAATTCTTGCTTGAGTCAAGCCATCTCTTGCTAATGAAGCTGCCTTTGAGTTTGTGGCTTTTAACATCTACTGAGATTCCAAGCCTGAACTATTTGATGCTGTCAAGAAACTGCCTTGTATTAGGAATGCACCACATTTCTAGATCTCACACATTTCTCTCTGAGGTTGATATAACAAATTAGCCCATTTCTGTTCCCTATGTAATTCATTTAGGCCAATCAAGTTATCCTACAAAACAATCCACGCCAGTCCCCAGACAGGTAACAGGAATACAGAAGTCAAACAAGGATCAGCTGAAGCACAAATCCCACTTGTAACACAGTACTTTGTCTCTACTTTTTATATAGTCCAGTCACAGACCAGTTATTATCATTATTTTTTTTTTACTCTCCTACACACTCAATTAACAGCTAATGAAAAAATACTTACTTGTATTACCCACAGCTCTCACAAGGGGGAACCAAAACATTTCAGAGCACTGCTCCCCTATTGACTCACTTCAGTCAGTGAGAGATGGCCTAAGAACCTCCAGCTGCCAAATTAAGCTGGCTGCGACTTTCTAGTCTTTTACATGAATAAATAAATGCCTACAAAAGCACTTCCTACGTTTTTGTGACAAGTCTTTATCAGAGGTGTTGTCGCTGTTATTAAAGTTTATTTTGAAGTTTATCCTATGTGCTTTTCTCTCTCATCCACTCAAGACTCTCGGGTGACAGCAGCTCACAGGTGAGGATGCTACACTCAACCACGCTGAGTGACACAGCCCTGACACACCTACAAGGCCCCAGAGCTGCTGCAGCTCCTTTCACAGGCTGAAGAACTCCAAGCCAACAACTCCACACCAAAGCACACACCGAGCTTGAGCAGTGCCAGTGAGTTAAGCAATCACAGCTAAATGCTTTGTCTGTCCAAAAGAGGCTGTAAGGGTTTTTGTCTGGAGAGAAAAAACCCATCATCTCTGCCCTGGCTATGAACTGCTTTGGGCCACAGCAAGTCAGAAACTGTTGCTGCCACCTAGTGGGCTCAGTGCTGCTGGCAAAGGGATGCTCACTCTCAAGACAGCGTAGTGAAGAGGCAGGAGGTTTCTATTTATAATGGAGGATTCCTCCAGGAGGAGCTCTACAGGATGAAGCAGCAGCAGCCTATCGTGATGCACTTGACTGAATTGCAAACTCCTCTTTTCCAAGAGCAGAGCATAAGATCTTTTCCTCAGAAATGATATCACTGGCCCACTTCAGGAAGAAAGTACCTGAAACAGTAACATCTAGGCAGGCTGACAGCACTGAATGGCTTTCCTTTTTGCACCAGAATTCCTGCACAGCACTTTACTTCAGAAGTCAATTAACCAAAGACATCACACGAACCACTGTTTTCACTTTCAGTACCTGAGTCATAGAAAGAGCACTGTCACAGTCTTACAGCTGCACATGTGCAGACCAGGATTTCTGTTGTTAGAATGTTCCCTCTAACAGCACTTCCTTCATAGTTCATCCAAGCTGCATCTCCAACCAGACCAGAAGGCAACGTACAGCAGCCTATAAAACACCTCCAACCTGAGCAGAAATTTGGTAGCTTGAGATCAGGATACCTAGAAATTAAGTTTTAACACAAAATTCCAAACACTCAAAAAATAAACTTTTCAACCCTGCTGTTTAATGCACTAGGAATAATAACATTTATTATTATTATTAAAAAGATGAACAATAACATCTGTAGTCAGTTGCCAGACCAGTCAGGGCTGGGCCCAAATTCTCAGCTTACCTTATGGATAAAATGAATGCAAAGCTGCAATGACTTCAGAAAATTCAGTGCATGTCTCCTTTCATTAACATAAAGCACACACACACACACACTTGGGCTGCCAACTTTAATCCCTTTATAAAAGGAAAATGGGAATAAATGCACTTGCAGAGCAGCACCTGGATTGACTGTTTTAAGCTCTGCTCCAGGACTTGCATGGTATTCTATGGCATTTATCTATGCTGCCAGAAGTGGCTGCTGCAGGTGTTGGGAAACCATCACACACTATGGCAGAATGAGCAGAGCAGCAGCAGCAGCATTTACATAAGGAAGAGATTTACTGCTATGATAAGGTTGGATCCCAAAGCCAGGTCATGCACAAGTGGAAACACATCAGGAAACAGTCTTTGAAAACAGAGACCAAAGAGAAAAACATAGATCTACGTACATGTAACACCCTAAAATAAAGGCCTGAGACTGAATGCATGGAAACAGTGCCACATTTTTAGGTGTATGTCAGAAAAAAAAAGAAAAAATCACTAAGAGTTTCTCAAAAGAATCACATCTCCAAGCAGAACTCCAGTTCCATAATTGAGAGCAACGCACTTCAAAGAGTTTATTTGAAATAAAGAGAAAGCACAGCATTGCTCAGAAACAAGGCAATACTCTCCTACCAGTGAAATTCATCTCAGATCACTCCTGCCCGTTCAGCTTAATACTACCTGTTTTTTGCAGCTCAGAAACAAGAAAACTAACAGCAGCTGAACCAACCTCAAATCAGCATCTGTATAAATAATCTGCCAACACTCTATGGAGTGACTGATAAAGGAGAAGGGAGAATTCTAGTAAACCTGAAATGATGACCCATTGCAGGGATGCCGTTTTGAGAAATAATTTCTTTCCAAGGAGAACTGAAGTTATTGGAATATTCATATTATTCATCATCAGCCCTTACCCTCTCAATCCAAGCACAAAGTGAGGGAGGCAGGAACAGTTTGTGAAGCTGAGCAGTTTGTGGGTGTGACACTGGACAAAGTCCCAGAGGGACCATTTCTTTTGGTAATGCATGAAGTTTATCACATGTTGGTGCTCATTCTGGACTGGCTGTTAGCTGGAGTAAGTTCCCCTTGGCTACCTTCTCTCGGAGGAGACTGCAACAAAAAGACCAAAACACATCCTAGTTAGTGATAACCCTCAAGGTCCTTCCAAACAGACCAAAGGAAACACACACAGGTGGCAAAAAGCAGGATAACAGCAGAAGAAGAGTACACTCCCACATACATAGTGACAAAATTGCAAAAGCTTTGCGTTTACAATTTCTACAGTTCAAGTTCACAGTTCCTATACAAGTGGAACCAGAAGCTTTAAACCACTCTTTGTTTCCTACATACAAGGTGCTGCTGGCTGCTGAAGTTGAATCTTATCTGGCACTTGGTTATCACAGAGATGAATGTACTGCAGAATTTAATACATTTTGTGTCCTATCCTCCCCCTATTGGCATTCTTTGCATCCTGGAAGGAATACTGCAAACAATTAATGCATTATTTTATTTCCTCTACTAAAAACGTTGATTCAAGTTTCTTTGGTTTTGGTAAGATAAAAGGTATGTGTATCATGAATTGGGCAGAATGAATTGGAATCAACTCAAGCACAATAACTTCAAAGGACATCCTGAATTGTAGTTTGGTGTACTGGCTAGAAATTCTTGTTTCCTCTTCCCATTTCATATTTGATATCATCACCATTTGTCCACCCGTGACAACAGTTCATCCATTCCCCTGCTGAATCTTCAATGTACCAATCCCAACAGTTTCTGGGGAAAATGATAATACTAACTGTATCACTGCCCTGAATCCTATGCACCATGGCCATACCTTGACATGTATCTGGTTGCGCAGCACTGCAGCTCGCAGGATCATGGCTTTGGCACGTCGCTGGAACTCTTTGCCCATGAGTAAAGACTTCTCAAAAGTTGTGCTGCGCTGGTCTACATCTCGAGCATAAAGAATCTGCAGCCAATACAGAAATTGTATGCAGGAGCTACGACAGGGCTCCATAGCAGAAAGCCTTTTCTGCACTATGGAACAAAGCTGGTGTATCATGGAGATCAGCCCTACTAAGAACACCATTCATAGCAGATGAATGCAATCTCAAAGTATCCTAGGAACAGAGAATTTTTCAATCTCAGGACAGCTGTTCAATCCACAATCAGATGCACTCACCTTACTGTGCGAGTCTATTCGGGCATTGATCAGTCCCTCCAAAATCAGCTGAGTAAGTTCATCTTCCAGAGCAGCCACTGTGGTATTAAAAGCAGTCGCCATCTTGTGCATATCTGCTGACACATAGGGGCTGAAGTACTAGGAACAAGAAAATATTCAGTTACCAAGGGGACTCCTCATCCTCTGAAGCACTATGGAAAAACAGTGACACAGAGATGGCTATCTCACTGCTTTTCCACCTCTTAGGATTACAGCAACAATTACCTGAATCAGGGCACGATTTCGAATTTGAGTATAAAGTGTCCTGACATGAGGTGCAAGGTACATATCCAGCAGCAGGTTGTCCTGTGCAAAAATACACATCAGAAGGTCAGGCACAGTGTAGAAAAAATATATTATTCCTATGTTCTTTT